AGCGAGTTGTTTAACCTCTCTCCCAAGTAACCCTCTAAGACTGTAAGTAGCAGGATAATTACAGACCTCTTTTGGTTTCCTTATCCAGAGTTTCCTACACCAGTGAACAATAGAAAATCACTGAAAGTTTGGGAGAGGGGAGCGACATAAGTATGAATGAAGGAGATTGTTTTGTCAGCAGCATGAATGATGGCTTGGAAAGTGTAGAAACCAGAAATGAGAGCAGTCAGAAGTCTGTTATAGTAGTCTAGGTGAGAGGTTGCAGGTTCCTGAATTAGTGTGACAGTAAGAGAAAGAGCTGAGAACTGAGAATGAATAGATAAGTGGTACAGGGGAACAATCAATAGGACAGGCAACTGATTGGATTTTAGAGGTGACAAAGAAAGAAAAACCCAAAGGTGATTCAGAAATTTTGAGATAAGGTGACTTGGAGGGTACTGGTGTCATCAAGGGAACTAGGGCATTGGGGGAAAAAATCCAAGGGGAGAGCCAAGTATGTATTCTTTTTTATGACACTGTATTTAAACATCCAATGAGACATCTAGGCAGAACTATCTAATGGGCCACTAGAGATACAAGACTGGTGCTTTGGGGAGGAATCAGATTTGGCTATGGAGATTTGGGAGTCATCTGCAAGAAGGTGATCACTGAATCATAAATTTAGAGCTAGAAGTCATCTTAAGGGCCATCAAACCCAAAGCCTTCATCTAACAGTTAAGGAAACTGGGACCCAGAGAGATTAGGTGACTTGCCAAGGGTCACACCATTAGGATTCAAGATGAGCTCTGAACTCAAATCTGCCTGACACCAAGTTCAGCATACTATCTACTGTATACGATGCCGCAGAAGTAGACGAGATCGCCAAAGGAGAGCCCATAGAAAGAGAAGAAAGGAGGGCTGTTTGAGAGACTTGTCGCTGTACCACAGTGGTGGCCCTTCTCCAGTTTTCATATCTTTGTGTGAGATGGGAGCACAAACCATGGACCATCTCCCACATTTTACCCCTTCCATTAGACTGTGTAAGGATCCTGGCTGTGACTTGATGTGTTCATGAGATAGTTCCCTATCCATGCATCAAGACAGGTCATGATTAAGTACTCTCCTCTTGTCAATCTTCAGTAAAGGCATTAAGAGAATGAGTGGAGTTATGTGAAGTGCCTGCTGACCTTCACGAAATCAGAGGATGTAAGAGTCAGGAGGGACCTAGGAGGTCATTTAGTCCAACCCCCTCATTTTACAGATCAGTAAATTAAAGCCAAGGGCCATGAAGTACTTATCCAGGGTCCCACAACCAGTGAGGAGCAGAACCAGGATTTTAATTCAAGCCTTCTGATTTGAAGTCCAGTATTGTTTCTTCTAAAGATCTAGAAGAGGCTTTAGAGATCATCCAAACCCCTTGTTTTTTTGTTGCCTCCAATAAGGAATATGTTAAATAGCTTCTTTCTAATTCCATGCCTTGGTTGCATTAATGGACTTCCCTGCAAACCTCCCCCGCCCCCATTTCTTTTTTTCTTCTTGTTTTGTTTGTTTGTTTGTTTGTTTTTGCTTTTTGGTGAGGCAATCTGGGTTAAGTGACTTGCCCAAGGTCACGCAGCTAGTGTTAAGTGTCTGAGGCTAGATTTGAATTCAAGTCCTCTTGACTCCAAGGCCAGAGCTCTATTCACTGCACCACCTAGCTGCCCCCCCTTTTTTTTTTAGTAGTTTATATTTTATTATTTTTAAATTTTTAATAGTATTTTATTTTTTTCCTATTACATGTAAAAACAATTTTCAACATTCATTTTTTGAAAGATTTTGAGTTCCAAATTTTTCTCCCTCCTCCCCTCCCCTCACCCTTCCCTGAGATCACAAGCAATCTGATATAGGTTATACATGTGCAATAATGTAAAACGTATTTCTACATTAGTCATATTGTGAAAGAAGAAACAGAACAAGAGGAAAAAAAACACACAAAAAAGTGAAAATAATATGCTTTGATCTGCATTCAGACTCCATCAGTTCTTTCTCTGAATGTGGATAACATTTTCCATCATGAGTCTTCAGAATTGTCTCAGATCATTGTATTGCTGAGAAGAGCTAAGTCAATCATAGTTGATCATCACACAGTGTTACTGTAACTGTGTTCAGTGTTCTTCTGTTCTGCTCACTTCACTCAGCATCCGTTCATATAAGTCTTTCCAGGTTTTTTGGGAATCTTCCTGTTCACCATTTCTTGTGGAACAATAGTATTCCATTACATTCATATGTCATAACTTGTTCAACCATTCCCCAATTGATGGACATCTCCTCAATTTTCAATTCTTTGCTGCCACAAAAAGAGCTGCTATGAATGTTTTTGTACATACAGGTCCTTTTCCCTGTTTTATGATCTCTTTGGGAAACAGACCTAGTAGCAGTATTGCTGGATTAAAGGGTATGAACATTTCTGTAGAGCTTTGGGCATAGCAAATTGCTCTACCAGAATGGATGGATCAGTTCACAACTCCACCAACAGTACATTAGTGAACCAGTTTTCCCACATCCTCTCCAACATTTATCATTTTCCTTTTCTGTCATATTAGCCAATCTGACAGGTATGAGGTGATACCTCAGAGTTTTAATTTGCATTTCTCTAATCAATAGCGATTCAGAGCATTTTTTCATATAAGTATAGATAGCTTTGTTTTCTTCATCTGTAAACTGCCTATTCATATCTTTTGAATTGCTTGTTCATATCCCTTGACCCCTATTTCTTTAAAGCCATTGTTGCCTTCTTCTGTTTTACAAATTTGAGTTGTAATTAAGAAGACCATATATAGTCTGCCCTGGTATGAGGAGTTCAAATCCTGGGGTGAATTAGTCTAGATTACTCTAGATCAAGGTTTGTAACCTGGGGCTTGAGAACTTGTATTTTTATAACTGTATTTCAACATAATTAGTCCTTTGTAACCCTATGTATTTTACTTTATGCATTTCAAAATGTTATTCTGAGGAGGGATTTGTAGATCTCAACAGACTGCCAAAGGGGTCCATGACAAAAAAGGTTAAGATCCCCTGCTCTAGATTCTGGGTATTCTCTAGTTATCCCAGGATAACTTTCTCCAGAATCTCCAAAATAGCTTCTTTTTTTTAAAAAAAGTAACAAAATAGTTACTGTACCTTCCTGAGCTGGGAGCAGAATAGATAGTCTTAAAAAAAAAAAAAGATGCTCCTTAGAGATCTGGGTTATGCTCCCAGTTCTATCCTTTTTTTTTTTTTTGGTGAGGCAATCTGGATTAAGTGACTTGCTCAGGGTCACACAGCCAGTAAGTGTCATGTGTCTGAGGTCAGATTTGAACTCTGGTCCTCCTGACTCCAAGGCTGGAGATTTATTCACTGCACCACCTAACTGCCCCTCCCAGTTCTATCTTTAATTAGCTCAAGTGACCTTAGGCAAGTCATTTAACTTTGGGCACCAGTTTCCTCATTTAGGAAGTTATGGTGTTAGATTATGTGACTCCCCCTATGGTTCCTTCTGGCTTTTATGTTCTATGGTTCCTTTAAAATTAGATTAGTTACCCCAGATGTAATTTTGTAGTTGAATTCTTTATCTCAGTCAGTCAACAAACATTTATTAAGCACCTGCTATGTGCCAGGCACTGTGCTAAATGATAAGGATACAATCCAATGAGGGAAGACAACACACAAAAAGGAAGCTGAAAAGGGAGGGAAGGGGGCATGGAACATGGGGGAGAGGGGTCATGAGAGGGAATGCAGCTGAATGGGAATGAAAATCTGGTGAGCCTGGGTCTAGCTCTTAACCGGAGGTTATGGGAGGAGCTCTGTTCTCTGCCCTCCAGTTAGAGGAGCCCCAGGGGACAGAGAGTACTGATGAGATAGGAGTACAAGGGGTGATGTGATCATATAGTATAATGAAGTTCTTATAGACATAATGGAGAATTCCAAAGGAGTATGGCCAGTAGGAAATGAGTTCAAGTGCAGTTTTCTGTTTCCTAGTGAAAAGACATCTTACTGGGCTATATATTATCCAGAGTCTCAGTAGACCTATGTTCTTACTCAACTCAACTACTTACTTGGTTTATGGTCCAAGGTTAATTTTACCCATCCTGTACTACTCTCTTGACATCCTAGGGAAATAGGATTAATAATGCTAACCTATCTCTTATGGTTGTACTGAAAATTTAATGACAATTATTGTGCAAGGTTCATTCCACTGAGAACATTGTGTGATAGATGATTGTGTCAGGAATACCCCAGATTGGGAAAGCAAATACCATTCTCTAAGAGAATAGTTTAAGCCCTGATAAGAACTGGCATTGCATTCATTTTGATGCAATCAGATTTTGCAACATGCTATCATGGAAAGTATGCTGGACTTGGGTCCAGGATACCTCGGTTCAAATCCTACCTCACACATGTGTTAGATATATGACCTTGGGGCAAATTACTTAACCTTTCTGGACATCACTGTGTTCATCTGCAAAATTAGGGGTCTTCCAGTCTTAGATTTATGAGTCTATGATTCTAAGTCATTTAACCTCTCAGCCTCATTTTTTTCTTCTGTGAAAGAATATCAATGTTTTCCTGGCCTACCTTAAACAGTTGTTGTGGAGGAAGCATTTTGTAAACCTTAAAATCCTACATATATGTATGTTATTTTTGAGGAGGGAGAGGAAAGGAAGGAAGAAGCATTTATATAGCAGCTACTATGTGCCAGGCACTATGCTAAACACTTTACACATATCTCATTTGATCGTCACAACAACCCTGTAAGGTGGGTTGCATTATTATTCCATTTTACAATCGAGGAAACTAAGGCAGATAGAGGTTAAATGACTTGCCCAGGTTCACATAGCTAATAAATGTCTGAGGTCAGAATTGAACTCAGTTTTTCCTGACTCAGCACTTTATCCACTGTGCCACCTAGCTGCCATCACTAGTTTGATTTTTACTTAAACCTGACACCTAGTACCCGGTGTTTCCTGAAAGGTGGTTAATCGTTAAGTATTGTTTTCAAACAGGGACGAAGAGGCCTCGGCTCTGTTTTCGTCTGGGCATCTGGAAATGGAGGAAGAAGTAAAGACCACTGCTCCTGTGATGGGTACACCAATAGCATCTACACTATCTCAATAAGTAGTACCGCTGAAAGTGGGAAGAAACCATGGTATCTGGAAGAGTGTTCATCTACACTGGCCACAACGTATAGCAGTGGAGAATCCTACGATAAGAAAATCGTATGTTTTTAAACCTCATGTCTACTATTTTTTAAATCCCATTATATCAAGGTAAAGAAAAACTGACTGATAATGCAAGGGGAAGAATAAGTGGATGCATGCAAGCCATGACTTAGAAAGTTTAGTCAGCTGCCTGGAAGGCTTTCACCTTTAAAACAACAACAAAAACAATCCCAAACCATTCACTGTGTATTTGGGTCTTTTTACTTTGGTTTAATTTCTCAGAGGATCATAGCTAGAGCTAGAAGGAATCTCAGAGCCATCTGGTCCAACATCCTTGTTTTTTATATAAGGAAACTGGGGTCTAGGGAGATGGTGTTCTTTACCCAAGGTAACGCAGGCAATGAGTGTCAGAGATGAGATTTGAACCTGCCTCCTGTGACTTCAGAGCTGGGGCTCTTGTATTCTCTTCCAGAAATGCCTGATTCAGGGTGAATGTGCATTCCATCAGGAAGCAGGTGATTTAGTGGAAAGAACACTGTATTAGGAATCAGGAGAGCCAGCTTCTAATCCCATCTCTGCCACTAAATAGCTATGTGACTTTGTGCAAGTCACTTACTTCTTTGAACCCCAGTTTCTTCATTGTAAAATTCAGTTCAACAAACTTTCGTTAAACTTTGTGTGCAAGATACTATGCCAGGTGCTGGTTGTTCAGGACAAAACAAGACCCCTCCCCCCAAAAAATAGCCCCTGCCTTCCATCCTCATATTCTATGGGGATAATAATAGGTATACCTCATAAGGTTTGGTCTGTGCACCAACTGAAATAATGTATGTAAAAACTTTTGCAAATTTTAAAATCCTATGCAAATATTAGCTGCTATTATTATGATTACTACCAACATTGTTTTTCCTCTCTGTGACTTATTTAGATATATAAATGAGAGGGCTTGTGCTGAAGAAGAAGTCATTGGATAGATTTCATGGAGCCTGTGAACTTAACGAAAAAAAATTTACACCTTTATTTTTACTAACTTCTAGTTGAAATTTAACATTTCCTCCAGTAATTTTAAAACGTGATTCTGAAAAGTGCTTCATAGGCTTCTCCTGACAGCCAAAGGGGTCCATGACACTATCTCTGAGGCCCCTTCTACCTCTTGAAAGAGCCAAATACTAAGTTTTGAACTATTAATCTAGTGTTATTTAAAAGCAAAAGCTAGATATGTGTGATTTTCCAAATGAGCAATACCAGTGATGCCTCAGAAGTAAAAGTGTGTTTTTCCAGTCAATCATCAATATGCCTTCCTATCTCTCTTCTAAATCTTGGGATTGGTAGACGTTAGTACCCAGCCTTCTTTTGCTGCTGTCCAACACTGACATGACGATTTTTCATTCTGACACCTTTTCATCCTTTATCTTTTCCTGAAGCCATGCTTGTAAACTGTCTGGTGGTATAATTTATCACTTTGTTTGGAAGCCTGGCCATGTTACCTGACACTTTTTAGCAGGAAGTTGACAAAGTCACTTGTCAGGCTCTGGGCCCCAATTTCCTGTGAGTTCACTAGGCTCTTGTTACCTTCCTCTTTCAGGTCATTCCAAAATTGCTGGAGCTGACTTTCCCCAGATACCTAGTATGCAAATGACAGAATGAGGTTAAGCCTCAGACTAAATCCTCCTAGCCCATCCTCACTTTTTTAATTGCACAGTTTTGGACAATTGAAATGAAAACCATCCTCCCTTCTCAATGTCACATTGCCTCTTGGGATTTTTTTCATCAATACTGGATAAAGAACACAAAAACTTAAATCCACATTCAGATGCCTCCAAAAGGTCCCACCTCACTCTCTCTTCTTCTGGTGACTATAGTCCTGAAAACTATTTTCTTATTCTTCTAACTTTAAAGAACATAGCAGAGAATGCATTTTCATTGCAATTGATAAAGTCAGGGATTATTAGTTCTGAGATACATTTGCCTCTCTGTGTTGCTTATACCTGTGGTGTTTTTTCAATAGGCATATATCAAGATTTATTTACAACTATTTGCTGAATACTTGTTTTCAGAGTCCTAAGTTTATTTTTTAGGCTGATAATAAACCTACCAACAGATGAACACCAGAAAAAAGGGTAGCATATAGTGCCATCTGATTGACCTGATACACAGGAAAAAAATGGGCATCACTCTTTGAAGTATTTCATGTTTTGAGAAGCCATACTCTGATTCTTATTTTTAAAATAAAAAGTGAGATATTCAGAATGCATGCCATCTTGGGGTGGGGGAGGGATCAGATAGGGTGAAAATTTGGAACTCAGAAACTTGTGGAAGCGAATGTTGAAAACAAGAACTAAATAAAATTATATTAAAAAAATAAAATTAAAAAGTGAGAATAAAAAATGTGAAAAATATCCCCTTCTGCCATCAAGGACCTCAGTCCTTCTAAGGGATTTTATGGAACTGGTAGTCCTGCCTCAAAGTCAACGCATACATATAATGCTCCTACTCATAGTAGAGTGTATGGGGTGTTCTGGGAGGATTAGCACCTCTGGTATGAGGTATTACTGAGCTGTTTTCATGACTGTTCATCCACCTTTGGTGTCCACCTATCCCCCCACCTCTCACTTTTGGCTCCAAGAAACTGTAGCATGTGCAGTGGCTGTACCCCAGAAAACCATCTCAGCAGATTGGCTAAACCAGGTTGGTGAGTTAGGGAGATGTCTACCCCAAGCACATAAAGACCTGCCCATGGTGGAATGGATGGATGAGAACAATTTGTTTCTACAGCCAGGAAGGCAGCTAAAGCAGGCACTATGGAATGCTTAGAACTTGGTCGGATATCAAAGACGCCAAGGTTATCCACTGCATCCCAGACCATCAGCCAGTCATCCTGACTTTCACCTTGACCCTGTACTTCAATGACCATAGAAGAGAGAGTGAGGCTGATGATTTGTGCGAGTCTGCCTCACTTAAATCCAATTCATGCAGAAGTCAAGACATCACTCATTCATGATGTCATTGGTTTTTGAAAACAAAGGATCAGTAACAGCAGTGACAGTTGATACAAGGATGTTGCTAGGTTTTATTTTATTCTCCATTCCAAGAAGGGATATGTGAGAAGAAGGAAGGTTAGACAAGGTTGTCTCCTCTCCAAGTCCAATGACATATGATCCATGTTAGTTCATTAATAATGATGATGATAATAAGTATTTATATAGCACTTTAAGATTTGCAAAGTGCTTTGTAGATATGATCTTATTTTATCCCTAAAATAGCCATAGGAAGTAGGTGCCATTATTATCTTTGTCTTACCAATGAGTAACCTCAGGCAGAGAGAGGTTAAGTGACTTACCCAGGGTCCCACGGCTAATAAGTGTCTGAGGTCATATTTGAACTTAGGACTTTCTGAATCCATGTGCAACACTGTATCCACCATACCACCCAGCTGCCTACATACAAAAATGTAAAGATATAATTGGATCCTTTTATTTAATTGGGGGTTTCAGGGAGAGAGAATCTGTGATTTCTTCATTGTGGGATGGTCCTACTTCTACCAGTACAGATCAGCACCTTCTACAACTCTTAGAGATTTGCTTGGGAGCCCAGGGAAGTTAAATGACTAGCTTAGGGCTCTCTAGCCAGTTTGTTCAAAAGCAGGACTTGTACCTGTCTTTCTGACTCTAAGGCTAATCATCTCTCAGTTACTCTATGCTGCCTCTCTCCTTTATTTAATATGTAAATAATGTTGTATATGTCATGTGATCCAAAGACAACACAAAAGCATTACTTAATTTTCTTTTTTTTAAATTTTTCTTGTTATTTATTGGCATTTACAGCAAGTACTCTTTTATCTTGAAAAGATCAGTGGGGTTTCTATGCCCTGGGATGCTGGCCATCCATTCCCAAAGTTTTAGTTATTTTTGGTTGCCTTTTTTTGGGTGGGCTGTTTTAATTCCTTCTGACTTAACCTTTCATTCCAGTAATTTCTCTGCATGTTTTCTCTGCTTTTCCTCTGCTGAATCCTTATCTTGGTGCATAGTGTGTTTTCCCCATTCCTGGTGATAAAGGAAAGTACAAAGGGGTCCTTAGATTTCCCTGTAATCGCTGTTCGTAGATTCAAAGGATTACAGAGCTGGAAAAGACCTTAAGAGATCATGTTTCCAGGCTAGTCCCGTGAGAAGTCCCAGAATGCTGATGTGACATGCAAGATGACACATTTAGTTAGTGGCAGCACCAATACTTACACTCCAGATCCCCTAACTCCTTGGAACAACTAGTTATAGTTGTTCTTGTATGCCCTGTCTCCCTGAGTTTATTTACTCAATGTAAAAACTCAGAGGGAGAATTTTAGAAAACTACCAGCTGCCAAACTCTCGATTATAGTGAGGCTGTACTGACAGTACATTCAATACTCCGGGCTGACACTATCTGATGGTCTACTCCCAGAGAAATGCTTAACTCCACCTTAGGCTGGCTGCTCCAGAGGAATGAGTGATAGAGCCTTTCTGTGGTTACCCAAGAATTAAAATGGATATAATGATACTTAACTGATTTATAAAATCTCTGTCCCTTGGATCTTCAGATTCTACACTGTAAATCTTGGCTGTTTTTTTCCTGTTAACTACATGTTTTGTTTATTTTTTAAACTCTTATTCTGATTTCCTACTCCATTTTAATGGTGATTTTCTCAGTACATCATTCAAATGATTTGACCTTGTTCACTCCAAATTGCCTAAGGCAATGTAACTTTTGTGTCCAGGCAGCCAAGAGACCTAAGTTTCCAGGAGAGTGCCTGGGCCTAGAGTCAGAAGACCTAGCTTGGATTTCTGACTCTGCCACCTATTAACTAGGTAGTCCTTTTTCATTTAAATTATTTGCATGTGTGTGTCTGTTTGAGATTGGACCTGATTTCATTGGTAAAAGGAATTAGAATTCCTTCTAACAAGGGAACTCCATCAATGAGTGCAAATCTAATATAAGCAATGGGGTATAGAAATCGGTCCTGCCCTACAGGAAAATAGAAGGGGAAAGGGATAAGAGAAGGGTGGGGGGAGATAGAAGGGAGGGCA